CAGGAAAATGGGAAAAGCAAGAGTATAGATTAGCCTGTGGCGAGAACAGATTCGGAGACCTAGGCTTCTAAGCGTATTCGAGAAAAGTATGAAAATGCATCAGGCTTCTCAGATTTCTTCCAGCTCCTGGGGCTACTTGAGTAAACAAAGCGTGTCTGAGGGAGGTGAAAGCCATTCTGGCTAACGAACGGGACACAATCTCCCTCCACGGCCGATGGTTTGAGTCAAGGGCACTGGGGTAGCTCTTGCTGTGAATATGTGGGATTAGGTGAGGAAAACCACAGAACCTTCACTAAGGCTAGGAAATAAGGTTGGAATAAATAAAGGAAAATATCACACTGTTGTGTGGAAAGACCATGTCAAATTCATTAAGTTTTAGGGTTAACATCTCGTGCAAAGTCTCAAAGAATACAGAACTAGAGCTCTGTCTGTCATTTCATCAACATTCTCCTCTTTTACTGGATAGTGCCCTTGAGCACAAACATGTTTAAGCTCTAGGTTTGCAGCACACACACCTGCGGGCAGACACCCACCCTGTCATGCCCTATCCTCCTCTAGCTATTACCTCATTTCTCTGCTCCCTTGCGGAGGAAAGTTTTGGAAAGAACCATCCAGGAACACCGCTGTAGGAACACCTCTTCTTCAGTCCACTGCAATCTGGCTTCTGCTGCCAGCACTGGATGAAACGGATTTTGCCAGGTCACAAATGAGATCTGTCATGATCATGGGGCCTCTCCTATCCTCATTCGGGCCTCATTGGACACAATGGGAGCTCCCTCTTCTTGACAAGCTCTCCTTTCTTGGGATCTGTGGCTGGACACGCTCCTGATTTCCTCCCCGGTTTAGGGTTCTCCCCTCTCTCTTGAGTGCACGCCCTGGATAGTCTCATTCACTTCCATGCCTTAAATATATGGGTTTGGTCGAAACAGACGAAATGTCTCCTGCCTTGCAGGACCTGGCGGGATGTTTTTTCTCTGGAGAGGAGGCAATGCAGTTCACCTGCTGCCCCCTAGTGAGGCGGCTCGGGATGCCCGGTGAACTGTCGCACTTCCAGGGAACATTCCTTCGGTATCCAGGCTGAAACTGTCAAGCCGGTTCGGAGCTTCGGTAACAGGGTCCGAGAGACCAGATCATGATGGCCTCCCAGCTTCCCTCCTGACCTGGTTCCAAAGTGCATCCCTAACACTCACTAGCAACTTCACGATCATGGAGAAGGGGAAGGCAAAGGAGGTCGACGGGACAGGAGAGGAGCGGGGTGACACGGGGGCATGGCCACTGCAGGAAGTGTTTCCAATACCGGATAAATTAGCCCCAGGTGCCAGAACGCGCTCTCTGTTGCCCTCTGCTGTAGAGATGAGTGAAGACAGCAGCCGGGAGAGACACCACTCGGATCAGAGGCACAGACTGAAAAAGGAATGTGGTATAGGCCACAGGGTGACCCTGCTCCTTGCCGGCTGCAGGAAAGGCAGAGGAGGTATTTTTGTGGTTTGCCAGGGAATGAAACACTGGGTAGCAGAGGTCCTGAGCACAGATTAGGAAATTCTGAGGGACTAACCCTGTTCCTGAAACGTAACAGCTGCATACGAGAGGGCGGGGGCTGGGATGGTAAAGTTCTGTAAAAGGAGGGGGTTCGTGATCCCCACGCCAGGAATGTCTCAAAGTCCCCCATTTTTGTACTTCATAGAAGAAATCTTGAATTTGTAAGTCATATATATCTTGAATTTACAAATTGTGAAAAAAGATTCATATTTTTAATAGATTTATCATAATTTCTTTGAGTGGGAGTCATCTATAGTTCACCTAAATATTTATCAAAACTCAGTTTACCCATGAAAAATACATGTATTACATAATGCAAAAGTCTTCACATGTGTATCTGTGTGTTTCACTGGAGTTGAGTTTTTGAGTAAGGGAAATCTGAGAAGAGCCAGAACTTGCCCTGTTTTGAAACGATCCTGGCTGCTGCGTAGGGGACAGAATATGGGAGACCAAGGTGGCAGCAAACACAGAGCTTAGTGGGAGACTTTGCTATTCTGGACAAGATAATGGGGGCTCTGACTGGGGTGGCAGCAGTGCAGATGGTGGTAAGCGGTCAGATTCTAAGCATATTCTTAAATATAGAACCAGTGGGATTTGCATATTTGCTCAAATTGAATGTGAGAGAGGAAGAGACAGACTTATCTACAGAGCCAGGGATCACTGGGGTAGGTTTTGGAACTGAGCAACTAGGAGAATGGCGTTGCCATTAGCTGGAAAGGAAAGGTCCAGGGAGTAGGGGAAGTAGGACTGGGAGAGAAGGGATTCCGAGTTGCAGATGCTGAGTTTTAGATATCTGCTGGGCGTGTGATGGGAGATGCCATGTGGGCAATAGAACGTGAGTCTGGAGTTCAGGGGAGAGGCCCATGCTGGAAACACCAAATTGGAAGGAGTCAACACACCGTGTTATTTAAGGCCATGACAGCATGAGTTCCCCAAGAATGGAGCCTTGGGCACTCTGAAGGCTAGGGAGAAGAGGAGGAACAATAAGGGAGTCTGAAGGACACTGAGGTGGGAGAGAGACAGTGAAGCCAGTGAAGGCACTGAAAGAGGAGTGAAGCCTGCCAAGGTGGGGTGTCAACAAACAGCTCTGGGTGGTTGATTCCAACCATCTGAACGGGGGACGGGGTGCGCACTGCCCTGCGGAGGGGGGAGGCACAAAGACTTGGACACACTATGAAGGCAAAGTGTGAGGGCTTAATGAGGACTCTGGTTTTGGCCAGGGCAGTGATACAATCACAATGTGCTTTACACTACCTTGGGGCCGTCACATCTAGAAGCTTGTATACCACGTAGTGTGGTATCAGGTGTAGTGGCAGAGAAAGGATTCCTAACTTTCGCTTATATACTTTGCATTGTTTCATTAACTACAATCATGTGTCCCTTTCGTAATTTAAAAGCTATTAAAGAAAATTAATTAGAAATATGAGAAGACTGGAAACTAGTAATTGGAAAGTGCAGACTAACAACAGCTCAGGAGAGACATGACAGGGTTAGAATGAGGACACTGGCAGGGAGATGGAATGAAATCAGACACCTGATTTTCAGAATCTGATGATCTGCTAGGATGCAGTTATTAAAGAGGAGACAACAAGCTGGAGGGGAGTGCTAGTATGCTCAGAGGGGACATACGCCTCATCACCAGCCTCTCCCAACCGCAACATAATGTGAACCCTCCTGGAGACTTACTCTCCGAAAGTACTTGGTAAAATGTCTCCATGTCTTGAGGGCAGGGAACAAGCAGGGAGGGGGATCATTTCCAATATTCAGAAAAATTAACAGATCAGTTACATGAGTGATTTAATTCCAACTCATAATGTTTTTTTCCCCCTGACAATAAAAACTGGTGGTATGAACTAATAAAATGTATTTCAAAGAGGACTTTGAGGGGACAACCTCTTCAAAAAAAAAAAAAAGAGAGTAACACTCTTTTAGGATGCTGTTTCCTAACGGAAACTAGATATCTGGTTTTGCCACCTACTTTGGGGATCTATTTTATATGACATTTAGCAGTCCAAACAAGAAGTGACCCTGGCCACATATGCTCCCCGGGTCTCCCTGCATGAAGAGTGAGCTGCTGAGTCAAAGGACACTGTGTCAGCTGGGGCGCATGATACACCTACACTCAGTAGGCAGTGCAAGACCTGGGGTGTGCGGACTTGGCCTCAAATTTCATGACTCAGGGATGCCTGGGTGGCTCAGTGGGTAAGACTCTGCCTTCGGCTCAGGTCATGATCTCAAGGTCCTGGGATGGAGTCCCACATCGGGCTCTCTGCTCAGTGGGGAGCCTGCTTCCTCCTCTCTCTCTCTCTCTGCCTGCCTCTCCATCTGCTTGTGATCTCTGTCAAATAAATAAATAAAATCTTTAAAAAAAAAAAAATTTCATGACTCAGGGATCCTACCTGAAGTATAACAAGTTTGACGCACAGCACTTCTAAAGCTTATTCAGAGTTTAAGAAATCATCACCTGCGGGTAATTCGCCTTAGTGCGAATACCCAGATAATCGGTTCTTCCAGAATCTCGATTTCAGGCTTAGATAGAGCCAAACCTTGAAGAATTATTATTATTATTATTTTTTTAAAGATTTTATTTATTTATTTGACAGACAGAGATCACAAGTAGGCAGAGAGGCAGGCAGAGAGAGAGAGAGGAGGAAGCAGACTCCCCGCTGAGCAGAGAGCCCGATGTGGGGCTCGATCCCAGGACCCTGAGATCATGACCTGAGCCGAAGGCAGAGGCTTTAACCCACTGAGCCACCCAGGCGCCCCAACCTTGAAGAATTATTTACCGGGACTCCAACACTTTGGAAGTTTTAAGGATTGTTTTTATGACATTATTCTTCACCACAGTACTGGTCTATACTATACCTGATGTAACTGATTCATTTTACTTTTAGGAATACTAACATGGGTTACTCCATCACAGAATCATCACTATGAAGTCCCACGGGAGAAATGGCCCTCAGGTTTTAGTACCAGGATAGTTGTGTATTTCTGGAACATGGGTCTTACCTTGCAAAGATTTATTCGTACAGGTTCTTTCAAAGGAAAGAAAACTTGAGTTGAATTCACTGCCTGTTTCCAAAAAGTATTCAGGCTAATGTGGCATGCATTTTACTTAAATCTATCTCTAGGCTTTATATTATTTTACCTACTACTGATTTTCCATTTAACTGTAATTCCCTTACTCATCTCAGAATGTGTGTGGTTTTTTTTTTTTAAAGATTTGTTTTAGAGAGACAGTTGGCATGCACAAGTTGGGGGAGGGGCACAGGGAGAGAATCTTAAGCAGATGCCCCACTGAGCAGGAGCCTGATGCGGGGCTCCATCTCAGGACCCTGAGATCCTGACCTGCGCCTAAACTAAGACTCGGACGCTTGACCAACTGCGCCACCCAGGTGCCCCTCACAGTGTGTTTTAATAACTTATTTCACTTTTTTATTTTTTTAAAATGTGGCAGGAAACACATAAAATAGCAACCTTCAGGTTCAGGATAGATACATGAAAGGGGCAGGGAAAGGGAAATTTGAAATGAATTATATTAAGTTAAAAAGGCCATTGCTACAAAGAGATAAGATGACAGGATGAAAAATAAACTAAAAGGTATGTACATGTTCAGTATACCAGTGAATTTACTCACATCCCCTTCTAAAAATCTCTCCCCAAACTATAAGATACAAATCTCGTGAGCCATCTAAGGAATTCTCAAAGTCATTTTGATTTAGTGTAAAATGTGAAGAGCTATTTCTAAGTAAATTAACATCACACATCCCATATAAAATGGATTTCACCAAAGGCAATTTTAATTTGCTAAAACAAAACAAAACTAAACAGAACAAACCTCCTCTTACTGCCATCTTAGAAAAACAATACCCAAAATTCAAATAACCTATTTCCAGGTGTTACTTAAATGAAAGTATCTGTTTGTTTTTGTGTAAGAAAAACCACTGGCAAACAAACCAAATCAGAACCAAAACACGTAATTCTTGCAAGGAATTTTGAATCATTTGTTTTTATTTTCCTGTATTGGAAATTTTACATTTACTTAAAACCTTACAATGTAACAGAAACAGACATGTTAGTCCATTGTGCCTCTGTATAAACAAATATTTTTAAAGTTTACTCCTGGTATTTTCTTCAAATTGCCCACACAAAACTAACTGCTTTGAGAGAACGTTTTAAACTAGACTGGTAATTTAAAAACAAGTGCAAACTAATGTGAAAACAAAGAATTTTCCTCTCTTTCAGGCTAAATGTTTTGTATGAAGTTATCCTCTTCCAACACCTTTGGTCTTAATTCTGGGTGAACCAGGACGGTCGCTTCCTGTCTCGTTCAAGGATTCTCTTACCACGATCTTGTTCAGATGGTACCTCTCCTGCGTACAGCACCACAGTCTCCACAGAAGGAGCCTTAAAAGGGCCACCTTCTAGTTTCCCCATCTGTCTTCTGATTTCTGCAGTCTCCTTGCACACCTTTTCATAGCAATAGCCACAAAGGACGTGCTTCAGTTTCAGGTGACCACATTCAGGACAAACATCAATATTGTTCTTTAAAAAAAAACAACAACAGAAACGTATTTTAAGAAGAGACCTAATACCGCACATGTAACCAGACAGGAATGATCCTTCACTTGAACTTTATTGAACTGTTCATGTCGCATAAGGTCATATACCAGTTCAACCTCATTTTTTTTTTTTTTTTTAAGTAGGCTCCATGCACATCGCAGAGCCCAACATGGGGCTTGAACTCATGGCCCCGAGACCAAGACCTGAGAAGAGATCAAGAACTGGACATGCAACTGAGCCACCCAGGTGCCCCTCAATGCCGCTTTAATAGGGGAACTGAGCACAAACAAATTTGAATTAATAGAGAAAGTGGGACTAGAACTCAGGTCTACCAACTATGAAGCTGGTACATTTTCACTTAAACACAGCAGCCATATTATGTAAAATGATACTCTATTCCCCCATCTTCAAATACGGAACATCTAAAGGAGTCCTTCAACACAATGGGGGACCCAGACAGGCACCACTGTAAAAAGAGACCAAGGGAAAGGGAACTCATTTTATACCCCCCTGGGGAAAACAAGATGACAAACATTATAGTTGGCTTCCCCTAATGTATCAGTGTAACTTAAATTTCTGTATGAAGCCTCTGGTGTACTACAGTATATGGTATAACAGTTGGTATATGGCCTAATTTTTCCTTTTATGAATAACACTGATTATTCCTTAATGTAAAACTCCCTTCTTATGCTACAATTTGATAATGAGTTTTTACACTCAACTTCAATAATACAATTATAATCTCTGAAGAAATGTTTTCAATGTGCTCTAAAGGTAGATTTGCAGTAGAAAAGAAAAACTGTAAATGGGAGCATCAAAGCAATTCCAAGCACTTCATAAAATTAACATATAAACGTTTGTGAGGCAATGACAAAGAAGAGTTTCACTTTCTGAAAGGAGTAAAGAATCTTGCAAATGACTTGCCTCACCAACTTCTCATTTTCCTTGCTACACTGGACACTGGATTGCATGTCTAATTGGAGGTATGGGAGTGATACCCAGTCGGAGCTCTCTTCCTGATCAAAGTACCAGCATAATATACTATGTGTAGCCAGAAGCAATTCAGTGAAAAAAATGAGTCCACAGGGGACTAGTCTTTTCCCTCAGAATAAATGCAGTGAGGGAATTCATGGAACAGCTTACTCTCATTCCAAAATTATAAATTCTCTCAATCAAACTGTATGTATTATTGCTTTAACGACATACTTTTCAGCCCCAGACTTTAAGTCCAGTTCCAAACGTGACTCAGTAATACTTTTTGGCTTAAGTTCTAAGGGCATGGTTTAATAGTGAATGTTGGAAGTTTATGAAAGTCCACTCTCTGTTCTCGAGTTTCATCTGCCCTGTGCTCTTGCTGTGGAATGTCATGGCGCAAACAGTAACTCAGACCATGACTGTTAAAAGCATGAGTTAACAAATCAAAGGTAACAAACAATGTAATTTTTGTTTACTAGATCAATGAAGAGTATATCCACGGGGGCAGGGAGAAGGGGGAATGGGTATGGCCACCTGGAATTGTCTGAGGACAGGAACACACCAGAAAGATTCAAGAGAAGAATGTGAGTTCAAAAAAATCAGAATTTGGGGCGCCTGAGTGGCTCAGTGGGTAAGACTCTGCCTTCGGCTCAGGTCATGATCTCAGAGTCCTGGGATCGAGCCCCACATCAGGCTCTCTGCTCAGTAAGGAGCCTGCTTCCCCCCTCTCTCTGCCTGTCTCTCTGCCTACTTGTGATCTCTCTCTCTCTCTCTGTCAAATAAATAAAATCTTAAAAAAAAAAAAAAAAAGAATCAGACTGCCTTGGCTCACATCCTGGCTCTACCACTTAATAGTTGTTTGTGACTACAGGCAAATTCTTTTTGCCTCAGTTTCTTCAATCCTAAAAATAAGCAAAGCTATATATACTTTGTAGGGCTATTGTGAGGATTTGGTAAGATAATTCACATAAAGCACTTAGACACATTAGGAGCACTAAATAGATAACAGCTATTTTTATGACCAACCTAATGATTATCTTTCACAGTATTTTATTTGTCACAGTGAAGGACAGAATAAACATGTAAGGGTTAGTAAAACCTGAGATCCAATATACCTACTGCTTCTGAATTTAATTTTAGACTCTGCTATGATTAAGATGTTTACCAACATATGACTCCAAATCACCAGCTCCTAACAAAAGTCACATAGGTTTTTCATAAACCCAGTCTTTCATCCAGACTCCAAACTCTCTCCTTGACTGTGGTCCTAACATTTAGGCTACAGGACAGTAGACATATAAACATACACAATGAGAAAGCTGTATTTTATTTAGGCCAGAGGAAAGTACATGTATAAGCTCTAAGAATTACTTACTCATAGGCCATATAAGTACTAAGAGGAGATGCACTGGAAGATGTGAGAGAAAGCACACCCACCAAAATCAACGTATTACCTTAACTTTAATAAGTTTCTGAGGGTTTCTTCTCCTACAGCGGTTAACTTCAATGCTGCGTCTGTTCTTCGGAGCTGCCATCCAAAAGATACTATCTGAAAGGCTGGGAATCTCCTTACTTCCGTTGGTATCATTTGCTGGTTCTGTAAATACAGCTGGACCTTGGATTGCTAATGCTGGCCCTACAAAAACAAAATGTGGAAATAAAGAATAGATTTCTAGTTTCTAAATGACTCTACATATCATTCTCTTAACAACAATGATATGGCAAGACATATATAAAATTTAGAACACTACGAATCAACAGACATTAAACAGAAGCCTTAGCTATTAAATACACTAAAATTCAAACATAATGCAATTTTAAACAACGTGAATAGAGTTTTTTTCTTAGAGGCACCTGCTGAAATGAATCAGTACAATTTTACCAAGAATTTCTCACTTTCTGAAATATAGAACTCAGGGGTTTAGTAGTAAACATGAATGAATCACTCAGACTCTCCACATTCTACTTGGTAAGCAGTTCCTATTTTACAAGTAAATCTAAGCTTGAGGTTCCCCAAATATATTTCTAACTTGCATTCAAATAACTGCATCATGGCCCCTTTTTATTATATTCCAACTGAGTTACTTCCTTTGTCATATAGTTTGGTAGGCCCTTGAAGTCACTTAGTTCTTCATAGCATTTGGTTGCGGTCTGTTCTCTAAAGAAAAGAACTAGCTCACCATTCTGCATGATATTTACTTATGTGACTATCAACGTTTCAGTTGTTTTTCTACGTTGCTTATAAAATCAAAGAGATTCCTTTATCCTTTCCCTGCTATTCCTCAGACTTGGAAGAGGTCTTTTGATTTTGGTTTTAGGAACTCTTAAAAAGATACAAAGCTGTCTAACATTTAGCAACTGGTATTCCTTTCTAACAGATCTCAAAGTATTGCAAACCAGAGCTCAGTGGTTAACAGCACAGGCTCTGCCGGCCTGTGTGACCTTGGGCCTTTATGAGCCTGCTCCTTCCGCTGAAAAGTGGTGATCCCTAACGGGATGGTGTGGAGACTTCCCAGAAGCACCGGTAGGCTTTGGCTTACGGTGGGCTCTCCGTTCAGACTCCCTGGGCAATATATCGGGACACCTTAGAAATAAGCGTAGAATGTAAATGAGAAAGTAATGAAAATTTTAACATCCAAGATACTTCTAACTAAAATTCGTTGCCGAGGAAAACACAGGGACCAGCAGGATTCAGCTGCAGAGCTCAAACACCACAAAGGAGGACAAACTGCTTTAGGGGGTTGGAGCACTGAGATGGAAACAGGATCTAGATAGTGGCGACCCCGATCTAAGCGAACAAACTTCGATTACATTCTGTGTATGAATGGGACAATCAGACGATTTTTTTCTGTTTTTCGGGGTTGGGGGAGGCAAAACCAACTTCTTCTACTTTCCAAGTAAGGAATTATCCCGGACAACGTCTCCTACTGGCCGCGACGGATCAAAACGCGGGAGGAAAGCGAAATACAAGCTGTGCCCCCAAAGCTGCCTGGGGTCCCCTCATCCGATCTCTCCTCCACGGCGGCCTTCCTTACGTACCCCACGGAGGACTGGGTAAACCTGGCCCGGTCTGCTGAAGTTTCCGCTGTAGCAGTTCCCAACAGCTCCGGAGGAGTCCCCGGGCGGCCGGCCACGGCGGAAAAATGAGCACCAGCATGGCCGACGCCATCTTCCTCGCCGCCCGAAGACCACTCCCACCTGACTGCTGCTTTCCGCGCCGCCTCGAGCATGCGTACAGACGCAGAGTCTAGCAAACCTGACTGCTAGAACTACATCGCCCAGCATGTCCCTGGAGCGGCTCTGACTCTCCTCCAATCAGAGAGAGAGAAAGGAAGGAGCGGGGAGGGGAAATGAAAAGAAACTGGCTCCAGTGCGCATGTGTGCGGATGTGCTTTGGCACTCCAGGTAAAGATGGCGGAGCGCGGTTACAGCTTTTCGCTGACTACATTCAGGTATGGAAGGGGCTCCCAAAGTCCTCCGCGGAACCGGGGTTGTAGGAGTTCCCTCTGCTCGGATTTTTCCGTCCTAGTCTCTGGCTTGAGGCTTCCGGGGGGCCCAGTGGGAAATAGGAATGGAAATGCGACTTTGCAAAGTCATTTTCTTGGCCCGCCCGCGGCCTGGGAACAGCGGTGCCGGGAAGCCGCGGGAACGCGGGTTTGGGGATCGAGGGCGACCTTGGGGCTGCGGGCGGCTGAGGTCCTCAACCAGGGATTTACTTTCACTTTGAAGACTGGCGAATAAGGCAGTTTTGGATTAGCTGCCTCCGGGTGTCCCGTTCGGAACTCAGGATTTCCTTCCTGACCCAAGTAGGCCTGATTGGGGAGCTTCTGGACCTTGGCATCTTGGTCCAGTGTTTGGGGTCCCTTTTTTCTTTTCGGAAAACCTCATCGTTACAGTTTGGTCTGAGTCTTAGTCTCCGTTTGGTACTTCGAAATCTCTTCCCGCTTTCGGTTTCTTCCCTGCCCCGGTTAGAAGTTTAAGGACTAAAAATGAAAGCGCGAATCTCTCTGTCCCCCAATGTTCGTGGGCCCCAGGCTAGTAGGCTGCATTTCCGTTTTGGCGATTTTGGGGGTGGGGGGAGGATATGTATACTTTACAAAAAACTGTAGGCTTTTCTATTTTAGGACGAGGGATTAATAATAGTATACTTATCAAAATATAGTTGAGATAAACTATTGTTCTAGATGTAAGAAAACCATCAGCCAAGGGTTTAATAAATCGACCCGGGAATGATTTAGTTTGACCATTTTCTTAGGGATCAGTAATCTTCCATTTAGTTGAAATGTTCTATCTGACAGCTAGCCGAAGGCAAGCGGGATCCAACTTGTTGAGTACTTTCTGTGTGGGTGCAATTTAACCTACTCCACTTCTTTCTACTACCCTGTGTGATAAATGTTAGTTCAACATCTTAACTGATGAACTAACCACAGGTCGAGCAAATCAAAACTTGTCTGAGGTCATAGATGAGTAGCTGAGTTCATGTTAAAACTGGGTTCTTTCCAATGACAAAATTAATACAGTTTCTATTACTGTATGGTGTCTTTTTAAAATACTAAAATAGTTTCCATACCCTTGGTAGTTTTCAATAATAAATGATTTTTTTAAGCCTTTGTAACCATATACAATGATAGAGAACAATATTTGCTAAATAATCACTGTTCATATTTGTGAACAAAGCAAACTTGGTTCTTTAAGAAAGTATAATCTTTAGAATAAGTGGAGCTGAAACAAAACATCAGGGGCTGGATCCATCTGTAATAATTTATTAAAATAAACTTGTTTTTTAACATAATAGTTCAACTCTTAGACTGGAATTTTTGTTTCTAGGCTGTTTTACTAAGAATTAAACTATTAATGGTGGAAGTTATGAGGCTATAATATAGGATGAAAAGGTGTTCTTGTGGATTACATTCATTTGAGAATATTGACAATGAGTAAACCGTGTCTACTAATTAGTGTCTGCTAATGAATTCTGAATAAAATTTTTCTTTACTCAGAAATTTTTATTGAAAGAGAGTAAAAAAGGAAACATAACTGTAGATTGGATAGTCGGGACAAGGCACTGCGTGTGGGGGTGAATTTGTTAGACCATAGGTGAGAAAAGCCAATTATTTGAAGACATAGGGGTAGAGAGACCCATGGACAGAGGAAAGAGGATATGTGAAAGTCCTGAAGTTGGGGAAAAGCTTGAATTACAGGAATTGAAACTAAGGCCAGTGTGCTAGAGTATGGTGGGCAATGAGTTAGCGTGTGTAGGACCACTCTTGCAGAGCCCTGTAGGCCAGAATAAGAAGTTTGTATTTTAAATGAACCAGGAAGTTGCAGAACTTAAGTGAGAGGTGATGTACAATGGTATCTCTGGCTAGGGAGACTGAAGTAAGGGTAGAAAAGAGGAAAACTAGGTAGAAGTCAGTTATCCCAGGTAGAGATGCCGGTACTTTGGAATGGGCCAGTGGCATGACTGACTAAAAAGATGGTTGATGGCTCAGTGAGCTCATAGACTGGTAAGCTTTCATATAGGAAGATGCAGTGCTAGATGTATATGCAGGTGACTGTGGGAACAGAGAGAAGGTATATTTAAGTTTACGTGAGGCTTTAAAATGTTCTCCAGGAGTATTTGAGCTAGATATTGAACAACTGAAAACCGGGTGGATCCAGTGAATCATGATATGTTTATGGAAATAGTGACTAATAAAGTAAAACATGTACAGCCTGATTTTAAAAATTTGAATACCTATTGATGTTATTTCACTCAAGTTAGCTAATTTTGTCATTTAAGAGTTTTTAAACTGCCACACCTTGGCTTATTCCGTACATAGGTTTAGTTGTGTCTCTGCTAGCCAAATGATTGTGAGTCCTGGTACTAGGTTATATGTTAGCATACTGACCGAACTCCGTTTCTTCACACTTTGTTGAGGAAGACAAACATTGTAAGAATAATTTTAAGCATGATGACTCCTAGCCAGAGGGGAAGTGTGGGACATCATAGGCATATGTGTATGCGACTCAACCTGGTCTGAATGGTCAGGATAGCTTCTCTAAGAACATGGCATTTCTACTGAAGATTGAAGGCGGACCAGGAGAGAGTTCACCAGAGGAAGGCGAAATGCATTCCAGGCAGAGATGTTAGCTTGTCAAAGGGGTTTTTGAGTTCTGAGACTAGTCTGTGTGTCTGGAACAAAGTTGAGAATTGAGTGACAGAGTATCCATAATTTTATGAAGATGAAATAAAAGACCTTCTGAAACTCAAGGTTTTATTTTCATTAGTAGACTGGAGATATGGACCAAGCTGTGTCATTCAAGACAAATTACTTTCACTCAAAACCTTTTTCTTTATCTGTAAAATTAGGTTAGTCTGCAAATTTGTGATGTTTTAACTCATCAACTGGATTGAAACAAAGTATGATCTTAAAAGCCAGTTCAGGGCTAGTATTTGGCTGTGAAACCCATGGAATCAGATATGTTACATATCATCAGCTCATAGCTTCGCCAAATAGCCTTGTATAGAAAATATTTTGTCATGGGTGATAACTAGGTCTTATATCTTAGGCCATGCCTACCTTATAAAATGTGTAAATCTACCCATACAAAATATATGCTGTTGCATGGTATTGAACAAACACAGATGTGCTAATTACATGACTATTTGGTATTTACTTATTGCTAATTTTGTGCCAGGAACAAAAGGCATCACTTCATTTAATCTTCATAACGGTCTTTTGAAATAGGTATTGTCCCGTTATCCCCACTTTATGGATGTGAAAACTGAGGCACAGTGGGGTTAAGTAATTTGAAGTCACAAGGTTGGGAAGTGGTAAAAGGCAACAGTAATGATGGCTGTTGCTTTGAGAGGCAGACAAGAAAGCGGGGTTGCGGGGGGCGGGGAGGAAAAATAAGTGCTTCACTATGGATATGTTCAAGTTGCCTGGTAAACTCAGTTTCTGTACAGCTTTATAATGTGAAAGCTCAGCTGTTCTTTGGTATTTGGTTAATGAATTTGTCCCATATATCTGCCCTCTCTCAGAGATGTTTATATTATACATATTTGAGGATATGTGAATTTAGCAAATATCTTTGTTTCTTTTTAAGCCCATCTGGTAAACTTGTCCAGATTGAATATGCCTTGGCTGCTGTAGCTGGAGGAGCCCCTTCAGTAGGAATTAAAGGTAATTAAATGTTTCATTTATTTCAGATGCCTGTTAATAGTTATTCTAAAGTTTTTTTTGGAATTAATTAGTAATTAATACAAATAAATAGCTAGGGCAGCATAGTTTTTAACAGTTCTTTCTCTTGATTTACAGTATTTTGAAGTTTAAAAAAACTAATAAGCCAGTAAGTCTAAGAAGATGATTAAAATTTTTTTTTTCAAAATAAATGTAGCTCCTTTATCTCTCAGTTGTAATAACCCACAAATGATCTTTCCCATTGAGAAAACTGAGTATTCTTTTGCTTTTCCACTAATTATAGATGGTTTTTATCCTTTTCTGTTATTTAGAAAAAGTTAATGATAAAACTTAATCTAAAGATATCCTTTTTTTCTTTTAAAACCTGTATCATTGATTACATTTCAAATTATAAGAACAGTAGCCAAGTAGGCAGAAGTCCGTTATTTTAAAATGTGTGGACCCTTAGGTGTCCTGGAATACTTTAAGAGATGTTGGGTAATGCATTTAGCTTTAGGAATTCCTTATACAGTGTAGATGACCAGTGAGGGAAAAATGGATTTACCATTTCTTAGGTGATTTTAATATAGAAGAGAGAGGTTTTACAAATAAAAGGAAATAAAGGAGTTTGGGTGAATTGCATCCATAATTAGAAAACTATTGAAGCAGAGTCTTTAAGTGATTAAACCTTTAGCGCCTTTTTTTTTTTTTTTTTAAAGCTGCAAATGGTGTGGTGTTAGCAACCGAGAAGAAACAGAAATCCATTCTGTATGATGAGCGAAGTGTACACAAAGTGGAACCAATTACCAAGCATATAGGCCTGGTGTATAGCGGCATGGGCCCAGATTACAGGTACTTTTACACTGTTGTTTATTTCACCATTTTATGAACTGTTTGTAATTTGTACCTTGAGAAAAATCAAGGGATGTTTTTCCTTTAACCCCCCAACCCTTTATTTTTGTACTTTGTTTAGCGTCGTTGGCAGCTGACTTTAGCCTGCCTGCAGGGACCACAGTAAGGGTCGCTTTAAGGATAACTCTGTGCCACCCTGTTGTAAAAGAGGAGACCCAGTATTTCTCTTTACCTCTGTTTAGTGAGCTTTCCCTCCTGATCACAACTATCCAAGGGCTAAGCTGTTCTCTTACGCCTTTTCCAAATAAAAGTAATACAAGTTATAATAAACTGTATCTAGGAAAAGTTATCAGGCAGCAAAAGAAAACATCACCATTCAGAGTTAACCCCATTATATTTGTGTTCTTAGCAAACGGACAGAATTCTCAAAGGCCACTGAAGTGAAACATCAGGGCCTTTGCTGTATAAGAGATTGGCACATTTCACGGGGTGCCCGGGTGACTCAATGGGTTAAAGCCTCTGCTTTCGGCTCGGGTCATGATCCCGGGATGCTGGGATTGAGCCCCATGTTGGGCTCTGTGCTCAGCAGGGAGCCTGCTTCCTCCTCCTCTCTCTCTCTGCCTGCCTCTCTGCCTACTTGTGATCTCTGTCTGTCGAATAAATAAACAAAATATTTTAAAAAAGAGAGAGAGATTGGCACATTTCTGTGTTTGTCATATAACAAGCAAAGGGGGGTATTATTACTTCATTCCTGATTTTTGGGAAACAACACAGGTAGAACCAAAGTTTCACCTTAATAAATCAGAAAAAGCAGCAGTGTTGCTAGAATGTGGCCAGGCTTCACTACAGTAGATCCTGTTACCGTTGTTCGGAAGGGATGCTGCAGTGTACTGTTGGAGTACACCGAGGCAGGACCGCTGAGGGTAAACCGAGTCTTACACAGAAGGGTAACGTGCATGGTTCAGACCTGCAGTACAGGAGCAGTTTAAAGGTCCATCCTATTTGTCCTGCTAATGTATTTGATCATCATAGAGAATATTAATAATTTTTAAGAACTTAAAAATTTTCTAAAGTTATGAATACTTTCCTGCTGTTCTTAATCTCTGAAGGGTACTCTTTGAAGTGCAGTCTGTGGAAAGGATTGCGGCAGAGTGAGAAAAGTATGCCCCGAGTAGTATGTGTGCGTATATGTACGTATGTACGTACGCGTACTACCGTGTGGGCATTTGTGTGTTTTGGCTTGACTGAGATAAAAAGACAGGATGACTGCCCTCGGGAAAGGGGGCACAATCTTGAAGAAGCCATGAAGGGTGGTAAAGCTCCCATTGTGTTACTTAATCTGTTAGTGCTGAGCTGACTGGTACCCCTTGTCCCTAATTTTCTTCCCATTGTCTTACCCTTTTTCCATTTCCTGTGACTCGGCTCCTCTGTGTTGCTCTGGTGTCTTCTCGCAAATTAACTGGAATCAGATGTCAGAGCAAGACTAACTTGGAGCTGCTTGTTACTGTTACACAGCTACATGTAAGACTTGCGCTGTAGGTATATGCCTGTAGGAGAAGAGTCGTTAAATAGCCGAGGGTTAACTAAATCTTCCTTCTTCCTTGTTTGTTAGAGTACTGGTGCACAGAGCCCGGAAACTAGCTCAGCAATACTATCTCGTTTACCAAGAACCCATCCCCACAGCTCAGCTGGTGCAGAGAGTCGCTTCAGTGATGCAAGAATACACTCAGTCAGGGTGAGTTGATTTTATACTTTGAAATGTGTCAACGAATTAGAAAAAGAAACCATTTTAGAAGAGTGCATGTATTTAAGACGAGGATTTACTATTCTTGTATTTACTTAATAGAGAAAATCACTGTGATGGATATTTTGAATTTTTAATTGGGTGATCTAGAACATTAAGGAAAAAAATAGAGTGGTTTCTTGCTGTTGATATAATTTCAGAAAGCAAAGTCTAGATAATGTCTTTTGCCAGTGATGAAAATGCTTCTTTGTGGGCAGGCAGTTATTGCTGCTTCCACATTTATCTCTGCAGCCACAAACGATTGTAAGCACATGATGAAAGCAGTAACTCTAACACATCCATATTATTTTAATTCTCTGGAGTCTGGGTGTGCACGGGGATGAGGTAATATAAAGGTAGTTGCTGAAAATGTAAAGCTAGTGGAAAAGCTGCATTTTTTGAAAGTTCTCATTTTGTTAAGACACAAAATGTTACTCCACAGTTATCCCAATATTTGTGTCTCTCTATTTACCTCAATGATTTGGTTAGTGTTCCTTAGTACAATAAAGAAAATGTGTTTTGAATTGATTTGTTCAGAAGGGTATGAAGTACTTTTTAAGGAACTTACAAGTCTAATTCATTTTACCCCATGATACGCTTTATTAATACTTAAGAGTATTAATAAATCCTTACTTTAGGTCGACTTTAACACCATGAAGATGCCTAGTAATTTCATTTTTCTTTTCTTCAGTGGTGTTCGTCCATTTGGAGTGTCCCTACTAATATGTGGTTGGAATGAGGGGCGACCATATTTATTTCAGTCAGATCCGTCTGTAAGTATGATACATATTGGAGGGATTTGTTAAAGTGCTCCTTGAGCATCTAATAAAAACAATAACCACAAAAAGTTTAAAATTTAGCAGTATATCCTTTTTTCTTTTGCACTGGGGCTTTAGAACACGTGGAGTAGTGTATATTCATTTGCACATTTAAAATGTTGGTGATGCAGTCTTCTGATGAAGAGGGTCTGCCCTCTGTTTTCCTGCCTTCTCTTATTCATGAACTCCACATACTTGAAAAGATTGATTGAAATAGTAGTTACCAGATCTCTTTAAGTCAGTGGAATTTTGCTGCTTTGACAAATGTGATGAAAGGTTCGTGTCTAGAGGCCAGTGCTGTACTCCTTGCCATCTGCTTAATCCTGGGGCTGACTTGAATGTGACTTTTCCTGCACAAACACAGATGTAACTCTTGAAGCCGTTGTTCTGTAAAGTGGGTGAGTTTGTCTCCTGGAAAGCAGAAGACTGGTATCTGAGTTAGGAGGGGTTTGTAGATGCTGCTGCTACTTCACAACCATCTCATTTGCTGTGAGGAAAACCAGAAGAAAAAAGATTCATGATGAGGAACGGATCTTTCCAAGTTTGTGGCTCATTAAATAATTGCAGGTTCACTCCGTGTCAGTCTTACACTCTAACCTTATAGTCTAAAGAAGCAAAAGAAAAATATTTTGGTTGTTTATTACTTAAATGAGGAAACTTAAGTATTTTGAGAGGTCACAGTGTCTGTTACCCCATCTCTGAGCCGCTGAGGCTAAATGACAAGCCCTCTTCCTTCCCTTCCATTGGGGTAGCAGAAGCCACCATCGCTTGGATCCAGGTTCATTTTTTGCTTTTTTCTTCCCTGTTTTATCTAAAAAGCAGTTGTTTCTTTTAAAGTATGTTTGGTATGTTTCTTTCAGCATTTTGCTTGTGTGTGTGCATGTTTTTTTTTTCCAACAGATGAGGCCATATTATATACAATATATTGCTGCTTTCATTTAGCATTAGATTATGAAATACCAAAACTATGAAAATTTTTTTTAAACTATGAAATATTTTTAATGAGATACTGTCTCTTTTAAATTTATTTGGCAATAATAATAAAGATTTGCTCACCATTTTTCATACATGTATGACAGATTTTTAGAGCCCTTCAATCCCAGTAAGCTGAATAATACTTTTGCTTTTTTGCCTTAAGTTAATCTGTTTCCTTTAACCAACTTCTTCACATAAATTGTATACCGTAAATTACACCTATTCAAAGTGTACGATTTGATGAGCTTTGACGGGTATAAATACCTGAGAAAGCCGTCACCACAATCAAAATACTGACCCTCTCCATAACCTCCAGAAGTGCCTTCATGCCTCTTTGTTACTTACCTTTTGTAAAAGTAGCCTATTTTGTGACATATTCCATTGCATTCCAATATTCTGTGAATTTAGAAGTCAGAGACAGATTTATACAACTAAAAAAGAAATGGCAGGGTGATATAATAAGATTAATGATTTAAAATATGGTTTATCCTCTTCTCTTCCTCATTAGGGAGCTTACTTTGCCTGGAAAGCCACAGCAATGGGAAAGAACTATGTGAATGGGAAGACTTTCCTCGAGAAAAGGTAGGCTAACTGTAGCTAGATTTAGCAAGCTTACTTCATCGTTCTCCACTCTGTTTAAATCACTAACATGATTTTAAACACGTTTGTTTTATTACTTTGTATACAAATACTCATTTGTGTAGCCTAGTTACAAATAAACAAAAACTTCTCTTCACCCTGGCTTCCTAGTCTTCAATATATTAACTGGTAATATTATGTATTTCTTATGAACTTTTTTTTCTACATTCTTCTAGTTGTTTCCTAAATGTTGTTTCCATTTTTTATCTTGTTTCTCCTTCTACAATCTAAAAAAAATTAAAAACTCTTGGAATTGGAGTAAGAAATTTGGGAGGAAAGTTTAAATGAGTTAAGTGTTAACAGTTTACATTATAACAATTACAGAAATTGTGAAGCCAAATACCTGGTAGTAATGGTAGATTAAATATATGATATGTGTGCTTGATGAAAAGTGGAGTACTATGTAAAAATCTGTCAACTACCCTAGCACAACAACCTGCTCTTATTTCCAGCCGTATTCTGGACCGAGCATTAGTCCACCAAAGCATGTCCTGCATTTTGAATGGTAGAAGTTTGTAACTGACTAGAACCAACAGATGGACCTTCTCAGTACATTTTTCACATAATGTTAAGATGCCTAAAAATCTTAAACCTGGGATTAATTGGTAAATGTAAATAATTTTAAGATCTTTCTTAAAGCACTTTCCTTTTACATATTAATAGTCTTCAAACATTTCATATGAAATTAAAACTTAGGAGAACAAACATAGGAAATTTTAGCAAAGGTCTGACTTCTTTATTTAAAAAATTATAATATTGCCACCATATTCTGGGTATATTAAAATATTTATACTCCTGTTAGATTTTCAAGCTCCATTAGGATTGGAGGACATTAGGATTGGAGGACATTAGGATTGCATGCCAAATAATTCTTATTTGGGGACAGCTGTTGCAGTGAGTGGACTAAAAGAATCTGTAGCTTAGTATTTTTAGGAGTGTTATAGATTTTTAAAAATTCTTATGCTGCTGCTGTCAGGTTTAAATCATAATGTAAATTGTGCCATAAATCATTGTTTTTTCAAAAAATTCTTTAGATACAATGAAGACCTGGAACTTGAAGATGCCATTCATACAGCCATATTAACCCTAAAGGTTAGTATAATTTCTAACAATGGGATTTATAATGAGTTTATAATTAAGTGTAGAAAATTGACCTTTTGCCACTCCCTCTTCAATAGGAAAGCTTTGAAGGACAGATGACAGAAGACAACATAGAGGTTGGAATCTGCAATGAAGCCGGATTCAGGAGGCTCACTCCAACTGAAGTTAAGGATTACTTGGCAGCCATAGCATAATAACTGAGTGACTGAAAAATCTGGAATCTCAGATAATCCCTCTACTCAAACATGTTTAAAGTATGTTTTGTTTTGCAGACTTTTTGCATACTTATTTCTACATGGTTTAATGGACTGATGTTTTTAAAATGACACTTATAAATCATAATAAACTGTTAAATCCAACTTCTAGCTTTTTAGGAGTTAGTGAAATTTTACAATAGTTATTTCCTGCTTTTTATCACAGTTGACTTCTGGAAACTACACTGCAAAGCAGAATGGTGAAATCACTCGTTAGTCTTCATGCAGTTTTGGTTCAGTCAAATCTTGTTAGACGCCCTGCTGTCAGATGTTGTCTGTGTGTGTCAGTAAAGCAAAATGCTGGTTTTGGTAAACATCACTGCGTTCAGAGCTGGGAGAGTCTGCAGGCTTTCATGGATTCGTGAGACGACAGGAAGTATAGGTGTTTTGTAGGCACCGTTAGGTGTACGTCAGTGAAACCCCAGGACACTAAGGTTGCACTGGGGCTGTGAAGGGTGCTAGGCCAAAGAATGTCCTATAGGAAATCTGTGATACAAGTAAATAAAAAGTGGTGGACTGGTTCCTGTTGGTTTCTCCATCACAAGTAGGTAAATGTATTTAAAGGAGTCCCTTAGATTCTCCTAGACTTTTTAAACTCAAGGATGAACATAAGTGCTAGAAATAAAATCCTTAATACTTAAACATCAATGCTGTGGCTTAAGGCTCTCCCTCATTCATGTAATCTCAACCTTGGCTGTCAATTAAGACTCATAAGTAGGCAAATAATGTGACCTCTGTTTTCATTATACAGGAAGACATACTGCTTAATTTTGTTTGTTTTTAAGACATTTTTAGGATAAGAGAAATTAGTGTGGCCCACAGCACAGAATTTACGAATATCATTTTTTTTTTTTAAGATTTTATTTATTTACTTGAGAGAGAAAACATGAGTGGGGTGAAGAACAGAGGGAGAAGCTGAGCACAGAGGCCGACGCAGGCCTCGATCCTGGGACCCCTGGACCATGACCCGAGCCGAAGGCAGACACCCAACTGACGGAGCCACCCAGGCACCGCTGAATATCATCATTTCTTACTAACAGACATAATAGGCAGTTCCATGATTCAAATGTGGCTCAAAAGGTTTTAAGATTTAGCTGAGTGTAGGAGAACAGAGTCTTACCTTGAAGTGTTTTGGTCAGGATTGCCAGTTCTGCTCCCCACCATCACGATAGCTCTGTATGTTAGTGTAGGTGGCAGCAGCTTTATGATGAGAGGTGGCAGCTTGATCTCTGACGTCAGCATGTTTGTCTTGAAGGCCGCATCTAATCTCTTGGTCTGTTGAGACTCCAGCAGCACCCTAGAAAGAGAACATAGTAGTAGAAAGGAACGGTTTTTGGGTCAGGTCTTAACTCTTTTACTTACTGGCTCAGAGGGTTTTCTGAGGACAGATTTGATGATGCAAATGAAAGGTCTGCAGGGCTCGTGCTGAAGTATTCTGTAAGGTTTAGCTGCCTTTGGATTTGTTCAGGCCCTCTCTAACATCCAATGTTCAAAAACCAGAGGAATATCAAAATTCTACAAAGAATGGAAAGTAAAGGCAGGCATATTAAGGAGAAAAGTGTTTGTAAATTCCTACTGAAGGCTCACAGAGTAAGTCCACAGAATGAAAGGAGGAAAAATTCACAGAAGCACATCTGTGTCCATATTCTGTTCTCTGGCTCTTCCCCCATTAAATGCAAAGTGTCGTTCAGTTGATGCAGCCTAGAACACTTTTTTACCTTTGTTTTCAGTTCCTTCTTGCATTGACCAGAAAAGCCATTCCTTTTGCTCCCAGTTCTTGGGGAATTCAATTGCAACCCCATCCCTAAATGTCTCACAACTCTTCAGTCATTCCAGCTTGTGGAATTGAGCTGGTTTAAACCTCCTTAAGCATCACAGGGCTCCTAATGTTCACAGCCCCTCTCTGATCTTGGTTCGTTTTTAATCTTCCCACTCTTAAAGGCTTTGCCTCCGCTTGTTCTGTCCTCTTTTCTAGTTCCTCAATGAACCACAAACTTAAGTTTGCAAAATAATTATTAGTTACGAAACAGGGAAAATGTTTAAATTCATATATTGATCTTTGTGATTACTGAGTACTGGTTCACTGGGCTCTGACTGGTGATAAGGAGGGTCAAAGGAGTTTTCTTCTGTTCGTTGATGTTCATGGATGAAAACTGCCAGCCTAGTCCTTAAAGTCCCCATCTTTATCAGACACCAGGTGAGTGATAATCAGCTTCTTAAGCATGAGCGTATTTTAAAAAGTTAGATAATTTTAACACTTCATTTGAGGCGATGCCCCTGAGTTTCATTACTTTTAACTTTTTTAGGTATTCCAGCAAGTACTGTCTTCCATATTTTAAATAGTAGACTTATGCAGTTCTCCGGATTCCTGGAGGTTAGCCACTATGTAGACTTTATATTCTGCAAGGTGAGAATTTAGAACTCTTACACTATCCTAACTTTCTCTCTGCCTCAGTTTAATTAGATCACAATGTTCAGTGTAAACGCTTTTATTAATGGCTTTGCAAGTAAACTGTTATTATATTTCCTAAATAAATTTCCTGGAGGTGATAATTGCTTCACTTTTTTGTATTCTGTGTAGCTATCACCAATTCTGAGATTCCCCCAACAGGATTGTAAAACCTTTTACATACTGTTTCCCTCAGTATATCATGTCAAGTGATCTTCACTGTTCTCTCCCTAATCCTCCGGCATCCTTCTTCCCCTCCAAACACCTCCAGAAGTTTCTGTCTCTGAACCCTCTTTCTGCTCTACTCCAGGCTAGTTGCAGGTTTGAAACTATATTCTATCTCGGTTGGCTGGGTTTAAAAATTCTAGGTTAGAAATGATCTCCATGTTTTATAGGCATTCCTCCTAGATTCCAGTGTTGCTGATCAGAAACCTAATGCTGTTGTGTATGTGTTCCAGATCCTTTCTTTATAACTTTTTTTCCCCTCCGCAGTTATGACCTTTTATTTGCAACATTCTGAAATTTCACACTGATGTGTCCCTTTCTGTGGGTTTCTTAACATTGTGTTGAGAATTCGGTAGGCCCTTTCACTGTAGAAACTAAAATCTTTCAGTTCTGGGTCAATTTCCTAGTGTTTGAGAAATTTCCTTTTTTTTCTGTATTTTTTACTTGTCTTTATTGTACATTCTAGTACAGTTTTACCCACCCTTTCCTACTCTTTTTTTTTTTTTTTAAGATTTTATTTATTTGTTTGACAGAGACAGAGAAAGACCACAAGTAGGCAGAGAGGCAGGCAGAGAGAGAGTGGGGGAAGCAGGCTCCCTGACGAACAGAGAGCCTGATGTGGGGCTCGATCCCAGGACTCTGAGATCATGACCTGAGCTGAAGGCAGAGGCTTAACCCACTGAGCCATCCAGGCGCCCCACCCTTTCCTACTCTTAATTGATATTTTAAAACTGGGGATATCATTTTTAATTTTGAAAAATTCTTTCTTACACTCTCAACCTCCCTTTAAAAAAGCCCTAAAGTTCTCATGTTTCATGAATGAACTACCTTTTATCTGAGGAGGCTAGTTATAGAATACTTTCAAAAAACCATTTTGTTCTACTTTCTGGTTTACTTAAAATTCCAAACAGAAAAATGTTTGGAAGTGCTGTGTTTGTGAGTTCCAAACCTACTTGGGGTTGTTGCTGTAAACCATTTCTCAGTGGTCTTCCATTTGCTCAATTTCTCCAGAAAAAAAAATAGGGCTTAGGAAGAGGAGTGTCAGCATCCTGGGAGAGGCAGAGAAGGAACTAACAGTATTTCACATTCCACAGAAAATTGTCCTTCTTCATGTGTCTAGAAGCCCTCTGACTCCCTGCTGTCAGCATGGTAGTTTTTTGCCAGGAGAAGGATGGCTAAATGCCCAGCTGCACTGGACTTGAGAGAGAACTCGAATGTTTGTTTTTACAGGGTTATAAGCAGTGCCCATTTTCAGTCCAGCTGCACTGCTCGCCTCCCTTCTACCTTCTAGGCACCTGCAGTTCCACGGCCTTTCTGGGGTTCTGCTTTGTGAGTCACTTGTTGCAGACACTTTGCTCCACTGTGCAAACTTCTCCGCTTACAGAGAGGCTGCCTGGGTTAGATGACCTCTTTGTGGTGGTCTTAGCTTTAAAATATATCTACCTTCAGGGCGCCTAGGTGGCTCAGTGGGTTAAAGCCTTTGCCTTGGGCTTGGGTCATGATCCCAGAGTCCTGGGATCAATCCCCACATCTGGCTCTGCTCAGCAGGGAGCCTGCTTCCCCCTCTCTCTCTGCCTGCCTCTCTGCCTACTTGTGATCTCTCTCTGTCAAATAAATAAAACCTTTAAAAAAATAAATAAATCTACCTTTTACTTTGTGAAGAGGATTAAATAAGTTAATATGTGAAAAGCACTTAGAATAACGCCTGCCATAAAATAAGCATTGAATAAGTGTTATTATTGCTCTTTGTCTTCCAAAAATGTATTGACATTTCATGTGCAGTCATTTTCTTGTTCTTGTTACTTTTGTGGGTTTATTCCTTTTCCTTTCCTAAGGGTGGCAAATAAGGTTTGGGAGGAGACATACATAGGATTAATGTTAATTTGAAGTCCTCTTAAGAATTTTTAAAAAATTTTTAAAATTAGCTTTACTATATCAAAAGTCCCAAGCCTGTGGTTGACTTTGGACACTCTTATTAGGCTAATACAAGTTTCTTCCTCTCCGAAGTCACTGGATCGTATGTCCTCCAGAAAGGTAGCACATCTCTGGTATCACACTTTCTATGGAGAGCTCCGAATCGCGCAGTAGAAAGTGCTTTGGCTTGGAATCAAGAGTCCCAGCTCTAGCACTTAACACTTGCGTGAAACCTTTGAACACGCTCTCTGTTTTCTCTTCTATTAAAATGAGCCGAAAATTCTTCCACTGCCTGCCACTTGGTAAGGGGTTTGAGCTTGACGGCAGAAACACAGTCCTTGGGCGCAACCGGGAGATAGTGTCCACCAAAATGCACGACTTCTGCCCCCGGAAAAGTCCAAACCGAGCTAAAGGGATTAAGCGCGGAGACCGAGTGGCCGGCGCCCTACTGGGAATGCTGCCTGGCCCCGAGAGCTCCATCTCTGCTTCCCCGGGGCGAGGTTGCCGCGAACTCGCGATCTCTTCCTGATGCGAGAGTGGGAGAAGCCGGGTGCCCTCAACAAACATGGCGGCCGCGTTAGCGTCAGCCGCGCTCGGGAGGCCACGCTCCCGCCTGGGACTCGCGGACTCGGCGTCACCCGGCGCGGGACCACGTGACTCAGGAGGCTCCCGAGGCGGCGGCGCTCGCGCGGGCTGAGCACCCGCAGCTGCTAGGAGTGGGGTGGGGTCTGCCGGGAGAGCATTCCCGGCGGGTCCCGGCCTCGCGCGCGCACTTGTTTGCCTGCTCGCGCACGCGGTCCTGGCGCAGCCGGTGAGGAGCCGGGGAGGCGGAGGGAGGGAGCGGGGCGCCACTTCCCCGGCCGGGAGGGGTTGGCCGGCCGGCGAGGCCGGGAGGGGCGGACTCTGGGCCGCCGCGCGCCCCCCGTCCTGCCCTCCACGCACAGCGCTGGCTTCGGGAGCTGTTTGAGCCCGAGTCAGCGCGGCCCGGCAGAGCTGTGCGGGCGGACCCGGTACGGCTGCAGGGCCCGATGCCCGCCCGGAAGGCCCCGCTGACCTCCGTGTCGCCGCGGGCTGCACTCTCCGGGTCTAGTTTATCTTCGGGCTTTTCCTTCCTGGGAGCCGGAGCCCAGTTGGTGGGTCCCTTCCGTCTTTTAAAATGTACTGGGTTGACGTCAGATGCAGGAATGAGGCAGTCTTGATTCCGTGGCGGGTGTACCGTGTGCCCGTGGGATAGCACGAGGCAGTCGGGTAGAGGGGACCCACTCGCGAGGGAGGAAAAGATCAGAGAGGCTTAGAGTGGTCATTTTGGGAGACACTTTTGGTTTGGACCATTTGCTAACCAGCTAGTCTGTGTGGATATTTTTAATCACGCTCTCTTCACTTTCCGAGCCTTTTATAAAAATTGTTCTCCAAGCAAACAGTAAAGCTGCTGATCAGGGAGCTCCTTATGTAGCAGCTTGCCGAACTCCTGCATTTTACCCTGACCCGGGACGTGCTGAACGTGACCTTCAGACTGAAGAAATAAAGGTCTAAAAAGGCTTGTCAGAATCCAACATGCCAAAAGAAGAGTTTGGAAATATAGGTATCCTTTCCTTAGTTGTCACAGGAGGAAGTCACTCCAAAATCAGCCATGCAGAAGAAGATTCAGCCCACATAAGCTTTGTTTCTAGACTGAAGTTGTATAATCCTCAGTGAAGAATTGATTGCCATCATTTCTTAGGACTGTTTCGATTTGCCTTGTTTCTTTTCTTTCCGTAGGAAAGGAATAATGCTGTCAGCATGTCTGCACACTCCATGCTCTGTGAACGAATCGCCATAGCCAAGGAACTGATCAAGAGAGCAGAATCACTTTCTAGATCAAGAAAAGGTGGCATAGAAGGTGGCGCCAAGCTGTGCAGCAAATTGAAGGCAGAGTTAAAATTCTTACAGAAAGTAGAAGCCGGGAAAGTAGCGATTAAGGAATCCCATCTACAGAGCACTAACCTAACACACCTAAGAGCCATCGTGGAATCAGCAGAAAACTTGGAAGAAGTTGTTAGTGTTCTTCATGTCTTTGGTTACACAGATACCGTGGGAGAAAAGCAGACCCTTGTGGTGGATGTGGTTGCAAATGGTGGTCACACGTGGGTGAAAGCCATTGGCCGAAAGGCTGAAGCTCTTCATAACATCTGGCTGGGCAGGGGCCAGTATGGTGACAAAAGTATCATTGAGCAGGCTGAAGACTTCCTCCAGGCCAGTCACCAGCAGCCAGTGCAGTACAGCAACCCTCACATCATCTTTGCATTTTACAACAGCGTCTCCAGCCCCATGGCAGAGAAGCTCAAAGAAATGGGCATTTCTGTGAGAGGAGACATAGTAGCCGTTAACTCTCTGTTAGATCACCCAGAAGAGCTCCAGCCCAGCAAGAGTGAGTCAGACGATGAGGGCCCTGAGCTTTTGCAGGTGACCCAAGTGGACCGAGAAAATATTCTAGCAAGTGTTGCCTTTCCAACGGAAATTAAGGTCGATGTGTGCAAAAGAGTGAATCTGGACATTACGACTTTAATCACATACGTATCTGCCCTCAGCTATGGAGGCTGCCACTTTGTCTTCAAAGAGAAAGTGCTTACGGAGCAAGCAGAGCAGGAGAGGAAGGAGCAGGTTTTGCCACAGCTGGAGGCGTTTATGAAGGACAAGGAGTTGTTTGCCTGTCATTCGGCTGTCAAAGACTTTCAGTCTATTCTAGATACCTTAGGAGGACCTGGGGAGAGAGAGCGGGCCACTATGCTGATTAAGCGAATTAATGTGGTGCCCGACCAGCCTTCTGAGCGTGCCTTGAGACTGGTGGCCAGTTCAAAAATCAATAGCCGCTCGCTAACAATTTTTGGGACAGGAGACACTCTAAAAGCCATCACGATGACTGCCAATAGTGGTTTTGTCAGAGCTGCCAACAACCAGGGTGTTAAGTTTAGTGTGTTTATCCATCAGCCTAGAGCACTTACTGAGAGCAAAGAGGCTCTCGCCACCCCTTTACCAAAAGACTACACAACTGCAGTGAACACTGATGATACCCTTTAAATATTGTCTTGGAAATAAGTTATTGATACCAAAGGCTGGGTAGATAATACTTAGCACTCTTAACCTGTAGAGTTGATTGTGTGTGTCATCTATAAAATACATAACCCAAAGTAGAAAAAGCACAAGAGACAAGCGTATTTACCAAACTGCCTACGTTTTAGCAACCAAGAACAGAAATACATCTATACAAAGCTTTTAGCTGTGTGACCATACTTTTATTTGATCGAGTAGGGCAACATCCCCCTAGCGGCAATCGGCATTTCATGGGATGTGGCTACCCTGCGTCTTGCATAAAATACCTGGAAAAAACTGAAGTTTGTTTTTCCTTATATTTGTTCATCATTCATGTGGGTTGAGGCTGGGAAGTTTATAATTAGTTTTTGATTATAAAGTTATGGCCATTATGAGTGAAAAGAAACTTCTTGACTGCTCGTGTCACGCATACTCTGGTGCGTGCATTTACAAAGAGTACATTAATATAGAAGAAAATAAAGTGAATACTGGGCATGTGAAACCCATGAACCGATGTATACACCTTTGTGAAAAGAAAGATAGTCCCACTACTATACACCTGGGACATTTCATTCAAAATATTAATTTGAGGAAATTGTAAAAGAATTACCAAAAATATTTTAAAAGAATTCAAATTTTAGTTTTAAGTACAAAGATTTCCCATATTGCAAGTATTTGACTTATAAATACTGCCTTTACTCTCTCTTTTGCAAGTGGCAAGTGACAACTGCATTACTTCACTCTTGTGAAATGGTGGTAGGCGATCCCATGCCTGTTGCATGACACAAGTTGTAATTAAAAATAAATTTTTACGTCCACATGGCCCTAGGTGCTTTATTTGCAACAAAGCAAAGTAGCTTAGCAAAGGAGATATGTATTCACTGTATTTTAAAAATTGGGACATTAAGTCTTAGAGCTTAAGTATTAAGGCAAGCTAAGTGTGGGAGCCTGTATTAGAACACATTGCCACAGCCTGACCTCATTCTTTTGTGCCAACTTTGCTGTTTTGCGAGAAGGGAACTCAGTTTCCAGGCCCAGTGTTTGTTGGGAGGGCAGGGGTTGAATTTGTTTATAGGATGTCCATGAACACTGCAGTGAAATGCGAAAGTAAACTTGGGAATGTTTCTCTTGGGAGGGATTCCATTACTATCCTGGAACACATTTCCTAGGGGAAAAGTTTGTGATTGGGATTCTGATTTAGAATAGAGAGGTGGATTTAACTTGCATTGCAACTGAAATTGTATAGTGTTAAAAATTGGGCTTAGGCCTTTTTGAGTACCTATTAAGGTACTAAGGTGCTTGGTACTGAGCATTTAAAAATTTGGTCAAAAAAAAAAAAAAAAAAAGAGAGGAATTGGTTTTTGCTCCAAGGAATTCTTAGTCTGAAATGGAGTTGAGTAACTGAAGTGTAGTTACTTTATTGAGTTGTCGTGTGCCAGCCACAGCACGAAGGGCTGAGCTTTCAGGGAGTAGCAGGAAGAAGGTAGATTTCTATCCCTTTCTTTCCACAATGCATTAATACCGAAGAACTTGAATCTTTCCAACTGGAATGTATACAGCCTCAGCACTCTTGGAAGAAGCTGATTTCTGAAGTGGCCATAGCTGTGGTTCTCCCATGATCATTTTCCTTTTCTGGATATTCAGTGATTACGGTTCCTAATGACATAATACTGCAAGCAGCAGATATGGACACGTGGTGGGGCCCTGGATCCTGGAATATAAAGTAAGAAGTAGTGCCTTCTCTAGGAACACACACACACACACACACACACACACACACACGACGACATTCGTGTATCCTAGACCTGCCACAGCTGTCCAAAATTATATCTGCAAAGGTGAAAACTAAATAATAAAAGAATGAGCAAAGTTGTGCTTGCTTTGGCAGCACATATATTAAAATAGGAATGACACAGAGAAGGTTAGCATGGCCCCTGGGCAAGGATGACATGCAAATTTGTGAAGTGTTCCATATTAAAAGAAAAAAGAATGAGCAAAATTGAAAGAATGTTGTTAAATACCAGTTAAAAACTGTCAAGTCCAAAGAAACATATGGTTATAAAGCAAAGCGAATGTCCAAAAGATTATTTTTTTTAAAGATTTTATTTATTTATTTGACAGAGATCACAAGTAGGCAGAGAGGCAGGCAGAGAGAGAGGGAGAAGCAGGCTCCCTGCTGAGCAGAGAGCCCGATGTGGGACTCGATCCCAGGACCCTGAGATCATGACCTGAGCCAAAGGCAGAGGCTTTAACCCACTGAGCCACCTGTCCAAAGGTTTATGAACGTGAAGATCTATAATGTAAAATCTATGGTGAAGTGGTGGGTGAAAGAAAAAGCATGTTAAAAAATCCTCATCTCATTTAGAAGGGACTCAACAGCAACTCTTATTGTTGCCATTAAAAAATAGCACAGGGGGTGCCTGGGTGGCTCAGTCGGTTAAGCGTCTGCCTTTGGCTTAGGTCATGATTCCAGGGTCCTGGGATCAAGCCCTGCGTCGGGCTCCCTGCTTGGCGGGAGGCCTTCTCCCTCACCCACTCCCCCTGCTTGTGTTTCCTCTTTCACTCTCTCTTTGTCAAAAAGATAAATAAATAGCACAATATAATTTGAGATGTCAAACAGGAAATGTGACTGATGGTACAAGTTAAACCAAGCTGACTCACTTTCCAATGAAGGGTGAGTTTGGAGAATAAATGCAGATCATATATGGAAAGACAAGGCGTTCCCAAGGAAGCATAAAAACCAGAAAGCATAAAAGAAGAGACATATAAGGCCAAAAAGGATAAGCCGGGGGAGAAGATAAATTATTGCAGGGAAATATACTGTATCTGTATACTGTTTGGATAAATTTGGAAAACTCAATGAAATAGGAATTAGACTTGAAGAAGTAGAAAACCTAAATAACCAATAGCCATTGAAAAAAATTGTTAAAGTTACTAAGTAATGACTTCCAAAAAATGTCCAGGGTCAGTTAGCTTCATTAGATAAGTGTTTGCTTACTTTTTTTTTTTTAAGATTTTATTTTTATTTATTTGACAGAGATCACAAGTGGGCAGAGAGGCAGGCAGAGAGAGAGGAAGGGAAGAAGGCTCCCTGATCCCAGGACCCTGAGATCATGATCTGAGCCAAAGGCAGAAGCTTTAACCCACTGAGCCACCCAGGAGCCCCAATTGTTGGTTTACTTTTAAATATCAGATAATGCTCTTGTTCTAAAAAGTAATATGGAGCACAACACCATAAGCGGGGTGGACACTATTCAACACAGCAGCCGCGGTGTCCTTACCACCCGGCACCTTTCCTAAGAGGAGAGCTCCGGTTTGCTCCTGCTTGACCATGGAGCCTTGGTGGAGGACCGGAGCCCATCTGTGCCATCTTGGCCGGTCATCTCAGATCATCACCATATCCGGAATGTTTTCAAATTCATTTTGTGGAATATAAGCATAATTCTGATACTAAAACATGACGTAGTGTCCTTAAAAAGCTGCAGCAAAATTTTGGTTTAGGTCAAATAAAAAAAATCTTAAAAAAAAAAAAAGAATATATGTACAAACACGGGACGTCTGCATGGCTCAGTTGGTTAAACGATTGCCTTCAGCTCAGGTCATGATCCTGGAGTCTTGGGATCGAGTCCTGCCTCGGGCTTCCTGCTCAGCAGGGAGCCTGCTTCTCCCTCTGACCCTCTCCTTCTTGTGTTGTCTTTCTCTCTCTCTCTCTCATTCTCTCTTTCAAATAAAATATCTATATATAGAGAGAGATATATATTGATATTGATATATTGATCGATTGCAGGGCCCGATGCACATCCGGAAGGCCCTGCCGACCTCCTGGTCACCCCAGGCTGCATTCTCAGGGTCTGGTTTATCTATGGGATTTTCCTTCCCACAAGCGGATGCTGAGTTGGTGGGCCCCTTTCCTCTTTTTTTAAATGTGCTGGGCCCTTTCCACGTTTAAAAACCTTTCCTTTCCTGCAGCTCAGCAGATCTCCCTGCTGTTGCCAGATGGGATCCTTCACAATCATGAATCATTGAATAAAGCCAGTTTGATCTTTAAATTCTCTCAGGTGGATTTTTGTTTTTTAACAATGGTGAGCAGCATCTACCTGCTTACCTCCATTGTTTGGCGATTTGAGCAGGAAATAAATACTGATAATCCACTGATGAATATACACTTTACGGTAGTTGGACTTTTTATGTTACAAGTTAGGGATGGAAGAGGGAGTGTTCCACGAGACAGGAAGTGAAAGCCTATGGTCCTTTAAGGCCCAGTGAGGCCCAGAAACCCTATCCTATCGGTTAAAACAGCACCAGGGGCTCATTTCAGTGGGAGGGGAAATATGGCCCAGCACTTGATGGAAAGCCTGTTATAAAATTTGTGGGCCTTTAAAATCCATCATGAAGATTCAAACCTTTTCCCATTAAATACATTGCAGATACCTTTTCCTGAAAAAAAATTTTTTTGGGGGTCTTTAAATGTTGTGGGGATTTTTTTGTTACACAGATATGTTAAAATTTTATGTGATAAAATATGTTGTTTTTTATTTTTCATTATGACTTCTGGATTTTGTGCCATGTTGAGAAAGGCCTTCTCCACCCAAAATTATTTTTAAAAAATTCCCCTATACATCTTTCTGTTATTCAGTTTTATTTCAGTGTGCATATGTTTGATATATATGTAACTTACATATGAAATCAGAACCTATAAAATATTTTCCAAAATAAGAAAGTGAGTATCAATCTTTTAGCTCTTTTTATTCAATTATATTATTGCTCTGTAAATAAAATTCGATTTTGTGCTTTCATATTATACTAATAAAATAGCATTTTAGATGCCCCTTAACATAATTTTGAGGACCAGCCCAATATAAATGAGCTCTACTCATAGATGTTTAAAATTTATATTCTGCTAAACTGTTGAAAACTATTCTTTAAAAAGATTTTATTTATTTGAGATAGAACGAAAGTGAAAAAAAGAGAAAGCACGACTGGGGGGTGGTGGGGAGTGACAGAAGGAGAGGGAGAAGCAGGC